ACTGTGGGGTTTTCCTGTAGCCTGGCCTGTATTAATCTCCAGCGCCTTTCTTCTATTATACTGAGACTCTTGATTCTCCAGGACAGGGGGGATGACAGATTTAGAATATCCCATCATTCCTTATTTGCTTACTCTGCTATTATGCATCCAAGAGGCTCGTGATAATAACATGAATTATCAGAACATGAATACTGCTACTACGGCCAATTAATCACTGAAAGCAGCATTCAGCCTCTGATTTGAAAAATAGTCGTGTTATATACACATGGTGAGGCAAGGCCTTAGTCCATTCTGGCTGCTAGCGTACAACGCGGCAGACTGGGCGGCTTATGAACGACAGACATTTATATAATTCTGACGGTTCTGGGGGCTGGAAGTCCGAGAGGAAGGTGCTGGCAGATTCTGTATCTGGTGAGGGCGGCTACCCGGTTCGTAAATGGCCCTCTTCTCTCTGTGTCCTGACCTGGCGGAAGGGCTGAGCTCTGGGTCCCCTTTAGAAGGGCACTCATCCCGTTCACGAGGGGAGGGGCCTCCCAAAGGCCCCACCTCCAAATATCATCACACTGGGGATGAGGTTTCCACAGAAGAATTTTGAAGGAACACAACTATTAACTCTATAGCACAGTATATAACCAGGATACACTACAGCCTTTCTAATACTCACTTGGTCTTTTTAAATGTCACAGCTTTATTGACATAACATACCCCACAATTCACCCTTTGGAAGGGCGCCATTCAGTAGTTCCCAGTGTGTTGCCGTAGCTCTACGACCACCACCACTAATTTCAGTGCGTTTGTGTAAAGTTCACATAGGGGTTGAAGTAGGTCGCGCTCAGCGGGAGTGACCCAGTAATGGGCAGAAGCTCAGAAAGCAAGCGCCTGTGTTTGGCTGGCGCGGGAGCCTGGGGAAAATGCTGGCGGGCTCAGGGAGGGAAGGTGGGTTGGCTGCGTGGTCCAGGCCCCTCTCTTACTTGCATACCGCCCGCAACTCACCTGTAGGAGAGAGGCCAGCCGAGCCCCTAAGAATTACGTCTCAGCAGCGCGCCGTGGCTGGGAAGAGTGAGGACTGGCATGTCATTGACTCTAATGCTTATTTTCCCAGAGACGTCCCATTTATCTGAGAGCAAAGTGTTTTCCTTTCATTTCTTACTAAAAAAAAAAAAAATGTAGCTATCAAGGACTTCCGGTTGAAGGTGAGTCTCATCCTTCCAAACCGAAGGATAAATTCTGCTCCGTTATTTTCTGTGCAGTTGATGGATGAGAATGATCAGCTCTCACGAGGATTGACTCAGAATCTTCCTACATTTTCCCGTAGGGCCAAACATTTTTTTTTTTTCAGGTAAAATTACATTTGCATCAGTGTGTGTGAATGTGAATAACTGCTTCGTCTAATGAAATTATTACATACTTGTTTCCAGGAGCTTGATGTAATAGTGCTGCTAGTTGAGTGGATTTAAGTGGAACTTGCTTCTTAGCTGCATTGCCTCCCCTGAGCAATTATTATTTCTCAGGGGCCTCTCTTAAAATTCTCACCAGTAGCTCAGAAGTATTGAAAACTTCAATTCTAACAGAGAGTGTAAGGTAGAGAATTCAACTGATGAGATAGTAATTGGAAACCACATTCTGCTAAGAACTCCATCAGGGGCATCATGGGATTGGGGGCACGGATGAAACTTTCTGTTAGGAACTTGTTAACAGAATAAGGTCACCCAGCACTCACAAAGTGCTGTCATAGTTTCAAAATTCTTCTATATAATCACAGTCTTATTGAAATATCATCACAGAACCTAGGAAGTATCATGGGAAGTATGAAAGCCTGTCAAAATGAGGTCTCTTCCACCTTGGTCAGGTGGCTCTGTTAGTTGGCGCGTCCTCCTGTGCACCGAACGTTTGTGGGTTCGATCCCTGGTCAGGGAACATATGGGAGGCAACCGATTGCTGTCTCTCTCACATCAGTGTTTCCTTCTTCTAAAAATCAATGAAATATATCCTAGGGTGATGATTTTTTAAAATTAGATTTCTTACCTTTCTGCACTGAATTGGCCTCTAAGTGTAGACCATCTTGCCTACTGACATCTTAATATTAAGTCTTCCTCCATGAACGTGGTGTCTCTGCATTTATTTAGGTTTTCTCTAATTTCATTCAATGATGTTTTACGATTTCTAATGCACAGTTTTCACCTCCTCAGTTAAATTGATTCCCAGGTGGCAATGAGATTACCCAAGGGACAAAGACGAGTCCAAGTTTTTTTTTGTTTTGTTTTTTTTAAGATTTTTTTCTTTTTTTTTTTAGAGAGGGGAAGGGAAGGACACAGAGCTGGAGAGAAACATTCACACGAGAGAGCAACCCCGGTTTGGGGTCGCCTATTGCACACCCCTAACCGGACACCTGGCCTGCAGCCCAGCCACGTGCCCTGACCCGGAATCGAACCAGCGACCCTTTGGTTTGTGGAATGATGCCCAACCTACTGAGCTACACCAGTCAGGGCAAGTCCAAATTTTCAGACATGTATATTCTCTATCAAAGTCCGGAGATACCTGCGCTGCTTCCAGACATCCCTGTACAGTTGTGTGAGGAAACGCATCTCAAAGCTGGTGGAGGTGACCAGAGGACACCAGCGCCAGTTCGAGCCACTGATGTTCCGTTTCACACCCAGAAGTGACATGGCTGGGTCATGGGAGATAATTCTGTACTTAGTTTTGAGGAACAGCTGGACTGTTTTCTCTCTGCACCATTTGCACTCACTCCCACTCCCACTGAACAGGAGTCCGGTTTACCCACATCCTTGCCGTCAGTTGGCATTCGCAGGCTCTTAAAAATAATTCATTACCGTCATCCTAGTGGATGGGAAGTGGTGTTTCATTGTGTATGTTTCTTACTGCAGTAAAATAGAAGATAAAAATTTCCACCGGAATCATTGTTCCAGTGTTTCGTAATCGTGTGGTGCGGCATTCAGGACAGTTACGCTGTGTGACCATCATCGTCGTTGTCATCCACCCCCAGAACCCTCCCATCATCCGCCTCCAACACAAACTCCCCACCCCGCTTCCTCCAGCCCCTGGCAACTGGCAGGGGACTTCTTGTGTCTGTGAAAGTGACTTTCCAATACCTCCTGTCCTTTTGTGACTGGTTTCTCTCCGCATACTGTGTCCGAATTTCCCACCTTTTTACAACACCATATCTCGTTTATCCACTCATCCACTGATGGACACCTGGGCCATTTCCACCTTTTGGCTCTTGTAAATAATGCCCTATGTCCATGGGAATGCAGGGATCTCCTTGAGTCCCTATACCTTTTGGGCACAAGCTTGGAAGTGCCATTGCTGGATCACAAAGGTCATATGACAGTTCTCCGTGTAATTTTTGGAGTCACCTTCCTGTTTTTCCTAACAGCTGAAAGAGTACCCCGTGCTCAGAGAGCCCTTTCTGATCTTTTGTTGGGGGGTGTGAATGAATGAATGAATGAATGAATGAACGAACGAACCAAGGAAGTAACTACAAGGAGGAGAGATCTTCCTGGCAGGGTGGTCCTCCCAGCTGCCCCGCGGATTTCTAGACAGAAAGTGCCTCCAGGAAACCTGTGCTCTAAGCGGGTCCAGGAGGGGCTCAGCCATGTTGTAGGTGAAGACCGGAGGAGAAAGCGGCGCTGGCCTCCGGCCAGCCTTTTGAGGTCAGCCACTTTATCTGCGGAATTCCCCACCCCCGTGCCTCCCTCGGCCATCCCATTAAATTGGAAAATAAATCCCATCCCGGCCCAGGTGTTGGCTGATAAAGGCTGGAGCTATCGCCCCTTCCAGAGGAATTTGCATTTTAATAGAGGCTCTCGGAGCCCCAGAGGAATCCGTATCTCCAACCGGGAAATTTCAAGCCCCGGGGAGGCTGCGGAGTTTCTTACCCCGGGCACCGTCAGAGATCTGCCACAGGCTGCGGAGGGAGAGCCGGCCATTTCCCCACAACAACGCCACGAACTTTGTCACGCCGTGTCCCATCCCTCCGACTTCCTAACACTCCTGGGTCTCCCCCTGGGTCCACACAGCCTTTCCCGCGCCGGCCGTCTCACAGACGTCTCACCCACCGCGCCCCAAGGCGGCCTATGGCCACCAGAGCTTGCAAGCTCTCCTGGTATTCCAAGGAAGGCGATAATCAGGTATTTAAAGCCTTGACCTGGCCACTTGTCTTAGGCCCAAACTTTTTGCGTGGATCCAGAGCCCTGCCCGTGACAGGTGGGTGAGAGACGTCGTGCACTCGGGGAGGCTGCAGAGCAGCGTCCTTCAGGGCCCCGCGCTCAGGACCCGGCCAGGACGCCGGGGAACTGCGGCATCGCAGCAGCGCCGATCTGGGGGCTGCGCGTCCGAGAGGGTGCGCCGCTACACCTGGGGCGGAGCGCTGGGAATGGCCCTCACCTGCGCTGCCCGCCGGGCCCCGCGGTCTCCCCGGGCCCCCGCCCCAAACGCGCGCGCCCCTCCTGGGCCGGCCTGCGGCTGGGCCCGCGGGCCGGCTCCCAGGCTCCTCCAGCGCCCCCATCCGGTGAGGCTGCCTCGCTCTCGCCCTTGACCCGCCTGCGGCGCCCACTCGGAGCCTCGGACTGGCCTCCGCCGCGGTGGCCGCACCTGCGCGCATCCGCTCCCCGCCCGCACCGGGCCGGCGCAGCGCGCGGCAGCGGCGGCAGGGCTCGCGCACGGGGACGGAGGGGCTCGCGCCCGCGCTCGGGCCGGGGAGCGCGCGGGGCGGGCGGGAGAGGGCGCAGCGCAGCGCCGCGCGGCGGGCGGCCCTGCGGAGCGGCGGCGGCATGGACACGGGCAGCGGCAGGAGCTGCGGGCGCGCGGCTCCCCGCCCGGCCCGGCCGGCTCCCAGTGAGCGGCCGCCGCAGCCCCCGGGGCCCGCAGGGAGACCATCCCCGCGCCCGCGCCCGCGCCCGGCGCAAGTTGCCTCAGACCCTCGGTGAGGAGAGGCGGCGCCGGCCGGCGGGAGCGGGGCTAGGCGGGCGGGCGCGGGCGCGATGCCTCCGGCCGGGGGTCCCCGAGCGCCGCGCCCCGCCGCGCTGCCCCGCAGCCTGTCCCGCCTGCGCCAGTGCCCGGGCCGCTCCCGCATAGTGTTGGCGCTCGGGGCCACGCAGATGGCGCTCGGCTGCCTCATCGTGGCCGTCAGCTTCGCCGCGCTGGCGCTCACCACCTCGGCCCGCGTCCGCCACTCCTGCCCCTTCTGGGCCGGCTTCTCGGTGAGTGTCGCGACCCCGCGGGTGACTTCACAACTCCGGGCGCAGCAACTCCGGGGACCCCCGTCGCGTCTGTCGCGGCGCCCTTTCCCGTCCCTGCCGCTGATCCCGCAGTTACTTTTCTTAGAGGAACAAGCCGGGCGCCCGCCCTCCGCCGGGAGACGATGGGCACGGACGCGCGTGGGTCGGCGGCTGGGGACCCGGGACCCGCCGCGCCAGCCGAGACCGGGGCGGGGCGGAGGCTGTGGCCCTGCGTGCGCTTCGCCCGGGGGTGGGAGGGCTGAGGACGCGGGGACCCGCCGCCGTCGCTCCCCCACCCCGGGCGCCGCTCACGGACTGGGCGGCGTGGACCTCGCGTTTCCCGCGTCCGGCGGGACTGCGGGCTGGACGGAAGGCGGGACCGGGCAGGCGACCCGCAGCGGCGGCGGAGGCGTATTCGCGGAGACCACCAGGGTGGCCGGTTTTCAGGCTGCGGACCCCACATCGGAGACGCTTGCGCCTAACGAACGTCGGCAGGAGAAACCCACCAGAAATCTCCATCAAGTGATGGCCCCCACCAGTGAAGTGTTTTGCTATTTAGAGCCTTTTGGTGAAAGTTGCTCGGACCAGTGGAAACGGGACAGAGAGACGCAGCGCGGTTATTTACAGAGGGGCGCGCCCGCGAACTCTCGCCGTCTGTCCCCAGGTTTGGGGTCCGTCCGTCCTCGCAGGCTTCGTGGCGCACTCAGTCTGTGCCGCCTGAGCGCCTCGGGAAGCCCGGACCCGGCCTCGGCGCCGAGCGTTTGCTGTTGGTTCTTGAGTTTTGCGTTTTAAACACCCTGCCCCAGCCTTGCTGCTGGGTACTGTTTGTCTTTGGCGCCGCCGGCCTTTGTTCTCCGAGTCCATTGCGTGGCTTTTAAAACGAGATCGGAGCCCCGAGGACCCTCGGGCGCGCAGATCCAGGCAGGTGTGGCGGGTCGTCCTGACGGGGGCGTTGGTTTTCCGAGCTGGGTTCAGACCCGGGCGCAGAGGCTCGCACGGCCGAGGGGGCGACGCGCAGGGAGCGAGAGCGCCCCCGGCTGTGCGCGGTAGGATCGGGGAGAGGAGGCTGGAGGCAGGGGTTCGGACCCGCCACTGTCTGGAGTCTTCACACATCTGTTGCTCGGTTTTTCGCATGATTCGCTATGTCTTGTTTTCGTGTGGTCTGTCCCGTGGACGCCGAGGTTTGTGTCTGCCGGAACCAGCCTCCAGGGGGCAGGCTGGCTGGTGTCCCTTCCCGTCTGCTCTTTCACTACTGACCCTCCGCCCTGGGGTCCGGGCTCCCGCAGGGCTGACCCAAAGAGCCGCCTTTTGATAATAAACCTAAAAGGGAAAACGTGCGTTGGACACCGTAGGAAAGCTGTTCCTGTGGGAGAATGTACATTCACTCCATTTCATTCTAAACAGTTAAAAGAAATACGTGAAACGAGAATTCAACGGACATTTCCAATGTTAGCACTCTCGACAGCTGTTCGTTGAAATCAGTTCTGACTTCCCTTGATTGAGAGTAATTCCACAAATGTGTGCTCTTTGCCGACATTCCTCTGGGCTTTGGAGAACAGCAATGAACACAGAATACTCTGCTTACCTTTAAAAAAAAAACCACACAACTTTTAAAAAGTCCTCACTTGAGCATATGTTGATTGAGTTTTAGAGAGAGAGGAAGGGAGAAACATCAATTTGAGAAATATTGTTCTGTTGGCCCCCCCCCCCCATTTGTTCCGGTCTGGGGATCGAACCCACAACCTTTCAGTGCAAGGGACAAAGCCACAACCAAATGAACCACCCAGCCAGGGCTCTGCTGACCTGTTAGAGATTTTAGGTCACTTCTGCCCTCAGGCCACCTCCCAGGCCTCTGCCTTTCCATTCACTTTCTCCTGGGCTTATTTTCTTTCTTTTTAAAAAATATTTTATTTATTTTTAGAGAAAGGGGAAGGGAAGGAGAAAGAGAGGGAGAGAAGCATCAATGTGTGGTTGCCTCTCACACGCCCCCTACTGGGGACCTGGCCCACAACCCAGGCATGCGCCCTGACTGGGAATTGAACCGGTGACCCTTTGCTTCACAGGCCTGTACTCAATCCACTGAGCTACACTAGCCAGGGCTTATTTTCATTTTTCAAACTTGATTTGCCACAGGCACCTTTAAAATCCTTCCATAACAGCAAACACCATTCCCCCCTGTGTATTATATCTGCCCTTCGCAGAGATAGGGGTTGGTTCCAGGGCAGCTGGGACAAGTTTTCTTGTCAGCCCGTGGCTGTGAGTGGTAACTGCGCCCGGTGCCTGAGCCCGGACACCGGGACACCACCTGGCAAGGACATTTTTTGTGTAAGGATGGTGGCCAGGGCGGCCGGCTTCACAACCAGCCCTGCTCGGTGTGGCTCTGGGCCGTTGAGGGGGTAGCTGCCCATTTCCTCTGCGGTTCCTGGTGCTTGCGCTCCTGGGGACGTTCCACCGCTGGAGTTCTGACCCCGGGCCAAGGAGCTGCCTTGGCTGGTGGAACGGAGGGCACTCGCGCCGGTGTCAGCGCTGGGCCTAGGCCCTGAGAAGTCCCGGCAGCTTCCTCGGAGTGTGCTGTGCTGCCGAGGGTTTAAGTAGCTCCTGTAAGTTGGGGTTCTCCACAGAAACGACCTGTGGAATGCATACACCTGTGCGCATGTCCCAGGAGAGGGAGGAGAGGCCTGGGGCTGCAGGGCGGCGGGAAGTCCCGCCATCGGCCGTCTGTAGACTGGCAACCGGCAGCCCTGGTGTCCCAAGGCAGAAGAAGGCGGGTGTTTCCGCTCCATCAGAGAGGGAATTTGCCCTTCTGTGCTTACTTCTAGTCACACCCTCAAAGGATTGGGTGGTGCCAGGCTGCGCTGCTGAGGAGGACTTTCTTCTTTTCAAGAATTTATTTATTTATTTTTAGAGAGGGGAAGGAAGAGAAACATCAGTGTGTGGTTGCCTCTCATGCACCCCCTACTGGGAACCTGGCCTGCAACACAGTCATGTGCCCTGACTAGGAATTGAACTGGCGACCCTTTGGTTTGCAGGCCACTGAGCCACACCAGTCAGGGCTAGGGCGACCTTTTTGACACAGTCAACTGATGCAGGTTCTAATGGCTTCCCGGGATACCCTCCCACACACACTCAAAATAATGTCTTCATCATCTACCCAGGCAGCCCAGTGAAAAGGACACATAAAATTGACCTCATACTTGCCACAGGTCCCTCAGCTCCCAAGTGGCTAGTGTCAGGTTTGAACTCAGTTGCTCTGATTTGACAGGCTGTGCTCCTAACCACTGAGCTTCACTGACCCCGCCCCCCAAGCAGGCAGAAGGGGATTGGATAAGACCTGGTGGGAGGGGGTCCAAGGTAAAGCCTCTACAAGGAGGTCACACCCCATTTCTTAGGGAAAGTGCAAAATGCATGTGGAAAGGTGAAGAGTCGGAGAGAAACTTGGGGAGGTATCACCTCAGGGAAGTTGAGGACTGAGGAAGGGGCGGGGGAACCTTGGCAAAGTTGGGGACAGCTTCTGTTTCAGTCACTGGAAGTGCCTTCCGAAGGGGTCTCTGTTCTGAGCTGCCATCCAGCTAGAACTCAGGCCAGGGACCGCGGGGCTGAAAGCCTGACCTCTTTGGAGAGGCGATGGTTCTGCTGGGTGGATGACAGTCTTGAATGGTTATCCATCCTTTAAAGGGGCAGCTTCATTATTTTCCCTTGACAATGTCTCTAATGCCCAGGACATCAGAGACCAGCACACTGGCGGGTTTTCACATTGCCAGGTATACCTGCTGATAAATACACTGGCATTAGGAGTCTGTGTGCCTGTGTGAGTGTGTGTAAGTATATCTTTTTCCTTTAAAAGCAAAGCCAGTGGCTGGCTTCATAGTCCAAAAGCAATATGTGCTTGTTGCAATAACGAAAATCAAAAGACGTGTACACGCAAACTCACATAGACAAGTGCCTTCCATCCCAATTCTGTACCCAGAGGTCACCTGTATTACTAGAGTGTTGGATGTGCTCCACACTTCCCTTTACAATAAAAAAATATTAGAATTTATGTATACGTGGAATATGTTTCTTTTAAAACAGTTTGGAAGATGATACCTTACTCATACACCTTACTCGACAACTTCTGTTTTATTTAGAATAGAAGAAATATTCCCCATGGTAGCCCACTATTATTATTATTCCCATTATTTTTAATAACTGTGTAAGAGTCCATAGTATGAGTTATTATAATATATTCATTTATTCTCCTCCTGGGAATATTCCGATTGTATCAGTTCTGTGTTTCTACAAACAATGCCGCTTCTCTAGCTTCACATGCTGGTGCTTGCTTTCTGGGCATAAAATTCCCGAGTGGAATTGCTAGTCAAAGCGCGTTCAAATTTGGGATGTCCTCAGGTTTTGATTTACTAATTCCACCTGACGTTGCGGCCACCCCTACATGCTACAACAGTGCCCTTCTGCACCGCCACCCAGCCAAGGATGTTAGCTGTCTTTAACATTTTCATGTTTCTGATGGAAGACAATTGTTTTCGTTGGATCTGAATTTTCATGGCTACTTCTGTGTTGCAGATATTTTCTCGCAGGTTTTCACTTCTAAATTGGCTTGCTTTTTGCTGTCTTGTGCCACACAGAAAATCTTAGAACTTTTTCTGTACCCTTTTGCAGTTTAGTTAAGAGGGTTGTTCCTATAGAGGTCACATAAAGGTTCTTTTAGATCTACTTCCAATGTTTTCCCTGCGCTTTTTAATACTCAAATTTTAATTCATTCAGAATTTATTTTGCACATGGGATAAAAAAAACACCCTACGTTTATTTGCCTTCAGACAAATCTATGTGTGGTTCTGCTTTTGGACGCTGTCCCGTTTTGCTCTTTTTTGTTAATGGAGCTGTAATTGACACATACAACACTATGTCAGTTTCAGGTGTACAGCAGTGATTCTGTGTTTGTGTGCATTGTGGAAGGGTGAGCATAGTGTGTCTGGTTGGCATCG